TCGCTCAAAATTTTCCAAGCGCAAGAATAAAAAGTAACAAGACTGCTCGTATCAGGGCGAAGCCCTGAATGTTCCGACTGCCTTTTAAGGTGAAGCAGTAATAACATTGAAAAATTAAATGTAAAAAAAAATAAAATATTTTTTTTCTAAAATTTGAAATTTTTTTATGAAAATCATCCCCCCACACGCCATATAAAATACAAAAGGATAGATTTAGCTCCTTGTAACAAATCAGTTATGGCAAATAAGCTTCTTTCAACCAATTTGGAATGATTTCTAAGACAGATTATCTCTCCGCTTACGCGTTAATAGAGCGAAATATATCGCGCGCTAATTGTCCCAAATTGGCCAAAATGGCAATCTTTAAACCCCCATAACTTTACGAAAAATGATCACAGGTGAAATATCTTTTCAAATTTAAGCTCAAGACAACCATAGCTTTCGAATGATAAAAAAAATTCCGTCAAAAATGGCTAGTTAAGAAGTCGAAATTTGTCTGAAGAAAAAAAACCCACCCCGAGCACAAACATTCCGTTACTTTCGTATCGAAAGTCGGAACAAAAATTAAAAATTAAAAATTTCAAACCGATTTTTCGTGATAACATTTTTTTAATAAACTTTCAAGGTAGTTTGAATCACAATTGCAAGTGCTTCATTTCGATATATTACTATGGCCATTCCTACAGTTATTTGATGACGTGATTTCGCGCTCAAAAAAAGAACTACCTCAGACGTGATTTCGCGCTGTGATGACGTAATTTTGCGCTTTAAAAATAAGAACTACCTAAGAAATAAAGTTTTTCTCTATTTTAGTGATAGGAGCAACAACACAACTCATTCTATTTAAAAAAAAAATCAGCCAGTTAATTAGAGTTTCAAAAAATGTTGAACGTCTCTATTTTTCAGCAAAAAATTTCAAACAATTTTCGTCCTGGCTAGATCTTACATTATACTGTTTTATTAATATATGGTTCCATGATCTGAAACTTTTAAAAAGAAATATAATATGAAGTTAATCGATGTAAATTTTGTCATCAAGGCTATTTTTAGATGTGACAAACATCAATCAAGGAAAATTAGATCATGAAGTTTAAACAAGACTGCTCGTATCAGGGCGAAGCCTTGAATGTTCCGACTGCCATTAAAGGTTTATGGAGCAGTAATAACATTAAAAAACTCGATGAAATAAAACAAAATGAAAAAAATCTAAAATTTGAAATTTTTTAATGAAAATCATCAACCCACACGCCATATAAACTGCAAAAATATAAATTTTGCTCCTTGTAACAAATCAATTATGGCAAATAAGTTTCTTTCAACCAATTTGAAACGATTTCTAAGACGGATTAACTCTCCGCTTACTCGTTAATAGTGCGAATTATATCGCGTGTTAATTGTCCCAAATTGGCCAAAATGGCAATATTTAAACCCTTATAACTCTACCAAAAATGATCAAAGGTGAAATATCTTTTCAAATTTGAGCGTATGACAACGATAGCTTTCGAATGATATTTAAAAAAATTCCGTCAAAAATGGCTAGTTAAAAAGTCGAAATTTGTCTGAAGAAAAAGAAAACCCAACCCGAGCACAAGTATTCCGTTACTTTCGTATCGAAAGTCGGAACAAAAATGTGAGCAAACTCCGTGACTCATTGTATTTACGAATGTGCATGTTTCACTCTCTTCACTTTTGACCACACTCATTTTGTTTCAAAGAAACGCGCCCGAATTTTTATCAGCAGAAGTCCAAAACAAATTGGTTTTGAACAAATTATATGCGATGACATAAATGGATTTCGAGCAAACTAAATGCATTTTATTGTTCCGACTTTCATAACGAAAGTAACAGAATATTTGTGCACAGGGTGCTTTTTTTCTTCAGACATTTTTCGACTTTTTAACTAGCCATTTTTGATCGATTTTATATATCATTCAAAAGCTATTGTTGTCCTGAGCTTAAATTAGAAAAAAAGTTACCTGTTATTAGTTTTTTGCAAAATTATGGAGGTTTAAAGAATGCCCTTTTGGCCAATTAGGGACAATTAACGCGATATATAATTTGCGCTACTAACGCGTGAACGGAGATTTAATCCGTCCTAGAAATCTTCCTAAATTGGTTGAAGGAAATAATTTTGCCATAATTGATTTGTTGCTAGTAGCAAAGTCAGTCACTTTGTACTTTATATGGCGTTTATATGGTTTATATTGTACAGTATTGGCTTAAGCTTCTAAAATTTGGAAAGTGTTTGATGTAAAAAACTGATCTATAGTCACTTCAGGGAAATTTCTCTGCAAAATAACAGTTTCTGGAGATTCTTTGAAGAATCTACAATATCAGGCTTTCCTGGTGATAGAAAGTAAACTTAAGTGAAATTTTAATCAAATGCTAGTCTTCAGATTGACGTTTTGAGTCAATTGTGTAAAGCAAACAAGACTGCTCGTATCAGGGCAAAGCCCTGAATGTTCCGACTGCCTTTTAAGGTTTTATGGAGCAGTAATAACATTAAAAAGTTAAATGTAATAAAATTAAAAAAAATTTTTTTTTAAATTTGAAATTTTTTATGAAAATCATCCCCCCGCACGCCATTTAAAGTACAAAAAGATAGATTTAGCTCCTTGTAACCAATCAATAATGGCAAATAAGCTTCTTTTAACCAATTTGGAACGATTTTAAGACGGATTAACTCTCCGCTTACGCGTTAATAGCGCGAAATATATCGCGCGTTAGTTGTCCCAAATTGGCCAAAATGGCAATCTTTAACCCCCCATAACTTTACGAAAAATGATCACAGGTGAAATATCTTTTCAAATTTGAGCTCAGGACAACAATACCTTTCGAATGATATAAAAAAACTCCGTCAAAAATGGCTAGTTAAAAAGTCGAAATTTGTCTGAAGAAAAAAAAACCCACCCCGAGCACAAATATTCCGTTACTTTCGTATCGAAAGTCGGAACAATAAGAAAATAGGTAAAACAATTTGGAAAATCAATTACGCTGCTTATAATTCGCATGTTAGTTGATCTGATAATTTCTTTCCAGATCATGTATCGACACAAAAAAATTTGGAAAGCATACATTAGAGTTTCTTATCATAATTTGAATAAAATAGGTACAAAAAAGATAGATTAAATTTGGTTCAAACCGATTAAAATCCTTTTAAAATCTATCAAAAACTGAAATATAAAGAGACAGAGAAAATGAAATTAAATCTATTTAGAAACGATACAAGTGGATTTTGTTCCAGTTTTGAAATGAGATAAATTTCAGTCAATTTAAAGATGCTCCAAGCCTGTTCTTTGGATTGTATAAATGATCGTAACCCATTTTTCTCAGTGCGGGTCGAACATGTGAGCAAAGTTCCGTGACTCACAGAGCCTGCATATAGTTGCATTATACTCTACTTACTTTTGAGGACACTTTTAAACAAATCAGTAGAGTGGTGTTAGGATAGGCGTGGTGCAAGAAAAAACTTCTAATCCAAGAAGCTTTCAAGTTTTAAGTTTTAAGTTATAAGTTTTCGCCATAACCCGAAAATTGAAATGGCGACCTTTGAAAAAACTTACAACCTTTGTAAGTTGAAATGGCGACCTTTGTTAAAAAGCTTAAAATAAGCCTTCCACGCCTCTGAAACAAATTTCGATGCTATGATGTATATTTTTTGGTTTGGCTTTTAGCCATATTCATTTTATCAGGTCCTTTATGTTCTTTCTTTTTTTTCCTTTATTTAAATTTTTAAAAGCAACTGTTGAGGTTGAAGTGCATTTTTGAAAAGCATTTTGTAATAGTTCAAAGGAGATCTTGATTCAGTTCCGTCAAAGTCATCCATCTCTGTCACTGGTATTCTCTTGTGAAGATGGTGCCTATTTTTCTGAATGAAACTCTGAATCAAACGTAACGGCTAGCTTTTCCAATAATGAGAGACAGAACGGCTGTCAAGAAATCAGTTCAATTCGGGATTTAAAAAATTGAAGAACACCATATGCAAACCAAACTGCCTATATTTAACTGCGGTCGCCTCAATTCAACTTTTCTCAACGTCACACAACGCCGAAGGTATGTCAACCAAAAAATTTCATAAATATTGAAATTTCGTTCTTTTTATTTTCATTCTAGAACTCATAAAATATTTCCTGTCTTAACTTTTTTTGAGCAGGGCTATGATTCCCTTTATACTTATTGATAAAAATTTCAAAATATTTTGCTCAAAATTTTTCTTTAAAGATATTTTTTTCACGAGATCTTTCCTTGATCGCAGTCTCAAAAATATTATTTTTATATTCTTATTTACGACATTTATAAGATTTGGGCAACTGGTCAGCCAATCTGTACTATAGCGGTCATTGTTTTATAATCGAACCCGTAAAAATTGTCAGTCCCATTTTTTTTTTCATTAAAAAGTAAACATTCTCCACAAAGATATACTATTATATTTCTTCTAAAAATATTGCGCGCGAACATAGTTCTGCATGAAGAAAAATAATTGTTTGCCTTTAATAACTTTGGACTTTCAAAATCTGCGGTCAGTCCAAATAAGGATTCGGAAGGAAGTCGCGCCGTTAAGTTTTAAGGTTAAATAATCCGGTCGTCTGGTGATTTAATTCCGGTCAGCGTTTTATTCTACATGGGTTTAATTATATTTCAAATAGAACCAAGCAAGATGGAAATAATTCATACTAGTCAAAGAAACCCCCATGAAGAATTATGGACGCTCAAATGTTTTCTAATGTTAAGCATACTGATGCTAATGTGCCTTCGGGCCGCTGGGTTGTCACTTATTTGAAGTTCAAACAGAAATGATTACATTTTGTTTTAAAAGTTGGGTGTTTTTGACAACATGGCTGAATGATAAATGCGTTTGAAGATTAGGTGCTAAGAGACTTGTTTCACCCTTGATTACTTTTGAGTCCAAAATACTTGGGGAAAAGTTGACATGATTTGTTTCTTCCTTTTTTGATAAGTTATCGATTGGTGCTATACTTTATCAGAAACATACTTTCTCCGCAGGAATTTCTTCGATGTTTCTCCTGAATTTTAATGTTAAGAGTCTTTAGAAGTAATCTTGAGATAAGTTGCCTCCAATTGGTTTCCAAATCTATTTGAAGAGAATTCAGATCAAGTCGGATCTGCATTAACCATTACCCCGCACTATACCTATTGGGCGAGAATGTAACCGTGTTGACAGTTATTTACGTCTATCTTCAGCGTCATTTGCTTAATCAATCATGCACCCTATACTGACGAGAGACAGACGCGCGTCATTTTCTACCAATAAAAACCAAGGAGGAATAAGCATATGCTAAATTAAGTTTACCGGAGAGTACTTTTTGCGGTTCTCTTTAGTCTTCGAAAACTCAAATCAATTGACATCTGGCCAAAACTTCGTAAATAATTTTCCGAAATTTATTTCAATTAGCTGTATCAAGCTTCTTTGTTAATCATTAATAGTAAACGCTCCCAAAATTTCAGTATATTTTCAGTAATATTTTGATTCACTGGTCTGACACATTCATTTTTATTAGAATTTTCTGGATTTCCCCTGTGTTTCAAATATTCTACCATCCGCTCTAGCGAACATTCTTCAGAAAAAATTCATTCATTATTATTTCATTTCTGCTGCAAACTCATTCAGGTATTTCCGTAAAGCTTGAATTTTGGTTTTTCAATGAAAATGTTTTTCACTTCAATTTACTGTACTGTAAAAAAATTTCGCTGATCATACAGTGCTGATTTAAACTATCCGGAAAAACGAATAAAATTGAAATTTACATTGAGTTTTTCTCAAATTGGGTTGACGTTAGGTAAAAACTTCGGCAGAATTTTTATGGTGCAATTTTTTTGGCCAAATATGGACCCAAAATTTTACCCCAAAAATGGTTAATTATTGTTTTTTTTCAGTCAATCAGAAGTTACGCTACAACTATCGGGTCAATCACTGCTAAAATTAGTTCAAAGTGAGCCTCTTACGTAGCCAAACAAAGGGTATAAAAAGGGTTTAACCTCGGGTACAAATTTTATTTAGTAAAAAGCACATTTTTGGCTATAAATTATAAGAATTTAAATAATAAAAGTTTTTGGAGATTATATTCATTATAAACTTTGCTGGGCTATGAAAAAGGGTCACTTTGACAAAGTGTCAGCAGTGATTGTCTCGATATTTGTAGCGTAATTTCTGATTGACTGAAAAAACAAATAATTAACCGTTTTAGTAAAAAAAAAATTTGGGTCCGAATTTTGCCAAAGGTATTGCACAATAATAATTCTTCTGAAATTTTAAGCAATTTTTGTCTGCTTCAACTTTCACCTAACATCATCCCAATTTGAGAAAAACGCCATTTTAATTTTCAAGTTTTATTCTTTTCGTCCGGGTAACTTAAATCAGCACTGTATGCTAAGCGCTATTATAAAACTATAAAAATTGCTCTGAAATAATCTCAAGTTTGCCGGATTGACTACCATACTTGATAGTATTACACAATGTCGCAAGCGAATTTCAATTTCTTCCAGATGGTAGAAAATTTAGCGGTAAGAACGCTAAATTTTGTGAATAGTTTCTTTTTGGGGATAAAAACCAGACCGGGCTCAAATAATCCCATTACTTTTTTCAAAAACCCAAACCGAAAAGGTCAATATAAGCAAGTTAGGTTTTATTGACAGTAATTAAAGTGCGGAACAAAAACATAGATATATTTATTTTGAATCAGAACAAAACAAAATTATTTGTATCACGGCAAAAGTTTTGATGATTGTTTGAGGCACCTGATTTCGCATTGAAAACAAAAAAACTACAACACACCCGAATACGAAGTTCCAGCCCATTTTCAATGGTCGGAACAATAAAAACGTTGACAAGAGCTGTTGCGTTAGTCTGTGAAACTATTTTGATGTACAGAATCTAAACAATTCCAAACAAACACAGATCAACTAAAGCGATTCAAATCTTTTTCGATCGATTTCGATGAACTTTCAGGTGATTTATGTTGAAGTAAGAAAACAGATAGTTGGTAAAGGTTAATTGCAAAGTGTATATCTAACTGTATATCCAGTAATTTTAGGCAAAACCGCACAAGCGATTATAATATGGCCCCTTTTTGGCATTTTCATATTATCTCAGAAAAACCAATCACGAGCCAGTTTTATCAGTACGGAAAAGCATTCCATAGCATCAGTACAAACTTAAATCGTATTAATCCACGCGCTGTGGAAGTATTGTTTTAGGGTTAAGCAGTACTCGAAAATTTTAATTTCCTCTAGCTTGAGGAAAAAATAAACTTATAACCTATATGGTAATCAAAAATTGCAAAAAGCACTCTCGTCCCACAATATAGCCGTCCAGATTAACTACATCAGTGCTCGGAATGCGCTGATGACATCATCAGCTTGTTTTAACTCTAAGGTTATTTTTATAAAATTTTAGCAGTGTGCCTTAAAAATCCAATCACATGGCATGTATTTTTCTGATTTATAGGTCAAATCCACTTTGAACTACTGCTAAGTCTTCGAAGTGTTCGGAATTTGAAGATATCAAAGATTCTCGCAACATCTTGAAGATTGTCGAAATATCTCGAAGTTCAGCGACAATCTTGACGATTCTGGAAATATTCTGAAGATTGTTGCACGTCTGAAGAATCAGATACGATTTTGAGGAACATTCCTGAAAAATCTTGACGCTTCTGGAAACATCTGGAAGATTTTGGAACGCTCCTGAGATGCATTACAACTTGATCATATTCCTAAGTGGGGCGTTTGTTGTTTTGCTGGTGTTCACGATCGGTCAACAGATCAGGATGTTCCTGGAGAAACAGAACAACCCAGTGTCTTCCATCAACGTCATCTACAACCCGGAAGGACACCATGAGAGCTCAGGTACGTCTCAAATTGTTTACAAATTCAGTCAATTGCAATAGTATAATGCAGACACAAAAAACAAACATCTTCTTTGAAACTTTGAAACTGGTCGAATCAACCAATTTTTGATTTTCAACTACTATATTGAAGGGCCTTTTCTTAAGCAATGTTCACTTTTCTGTTGTTTTTGTCAGTATTAAGAGGGGTTGAACCCGTATAAGTATACAGCGATTGTCTTAAGCTTTGATAGGACAAAAATATTCGCGCGTTGATGATACCAAATCAGCCAAACCCGTGTAGTTTTCAGATGATATAAAAAGCCCAGTGAAAAATTGCTAGTTAAAATGCAAATTTTGGAAAAAAAATGCAAAAGTCATATCAGAATACATGTGGTACTAACTTTAATTTTACTGGGTCTACCTAGCGAGCAAACAAAAATTTAACTTCTGATTAATTATTCAGCTAGGTAGCCAGTCTTTTAGGACAGTTTATCCCTAAGGGAAATTACCAACTTACGATCTCTTCGCCTCTTAATGGAGATCTGTTATGGGCGCCTGATTAAGAACCATAGGCATTTTTTTAATTATCTTTGTGCGCTGGGTAACGTTGCCTCGCCTTCAAGCAACAAAACCGGATTATGGTAGGCCTCGAACCAATTACTTTTAGGTTGCCACTCTATTATTAGCCACTTCTTCACCGCTTCCCTAAACACGTTATTGCGCTTAATTTCGCCCGAAAAAAAACTTTGCGCCCTTCCAACTAAAATTGATGTAAATTCTGTAACGATATAATACTGATGCTTTCAAATAATATTTAAAATTTCTTCTATAAAGTTTACTAAAGCTTTCTAAATGTTTTTTTTTGTGTTATCATAAATTAGTTGCTGATGACCTTTATTGTCAATTTAGGGATTAAAATAATTTGATCTGTTTTTGTTTTGAAAATTTCTTGTGGGCAAAAGTTTATCGTTGGATATTTTTTAAAGGCTGTCAATGCTGTGTATATTTGAAAAATACCACTAGTTGAACACTAGTTTTGAGCTCAATAAAATATACAAAGCTAATTTTGTACCTTTAAGCCCGAATAAACACGGGTACCGTTGCAAGCTCTATATACCCTGGTTATAATTTGTGTTTTTAAATTTCTTTAACCCAAAATTGAGTAACTCAAAAAATCATCAGAATTGGTCGAGTGATAGACATATTCAAGCTTTATGTTATTCGCGTTTCAATCAATTTTTCAAAAAAAATTTCTCACTGTTGAAAAAAATGGGTTCTAACTTTGGATTTTTTTTAGCTTGGACTGAAGCCAGAAAGCGAATTAGTAACGAAAAAAGGTCAAAAATAAAAAACAATTAGTTTTTTTTTAAGTTAAAATATTTAGTTTTCATTTGCAAAAAAAAAGTTTTAGAGCTCAGTTTAGCGCTTTTCCGCCATGTAGAATTGAATTATCAAAATTGAATCTGCAAAAAAAAACATTTAAAAAAAAGATTAAAAAGTGATTTTTTTAATGTTTATTAAGAATTTTGCAAAACTAACTGTGGTATTTTGACTCTATACTAACTTAGAATTCTTAATAGCGTTCTAGGAAAGCTTGAATGTATCTGCTCAAACCAAGCGCAAGAGAGCAATTCAAATTGAGGAAAAAAAGATAAAAGTATCGTTTTATTGTTTCATAAATGATTGTGGTCTGAATTTGTCTGGAACTTTCTATGTTCAATTTAAATTTTAGAAAAAATCAACCAGGAACCATAGAGTTTGCTTCAAAATATACGAACAGATTCAGAGTTCAGATAATTTCAAAATGAATATATAAGATTTTTTTCGCTCATTTACAGTTCTTTACATTTAGCTCATATTTTTTTGTCTAAACAAGGTCTATCCAGGAATCATTGTTTTCTATATAAAAAAACTGTTTCCTGTAAGATTATTATCAATTGCTATCCATTTTTGTCATTGCGGAGCACTTCAAATAAGATGCCTTACTTTCTGAAAAATCGATGCTACCATAGAGTCTCCAGTGGTGCAAAAAGAGCATATGAGGGCTCAAGCAAACTGATTGCCAATAAAATTGCCAATAACTTGTATAGCCTCTTGACAATTTTAGGTGTAAAGTTAGGAGGTTTATTCAAAGAAAAAATGCATTTGTATTGTTTGACCTTTTTTCAGACTACAATTTGCATAATAATAAAGCCCATGGAAAATAAGCGCCTAATTTGGCACGTAATGATGCTTACATGACAGTCGAAAAACTGAATTCGACGTGATTTGTTCTGGGATTAGAATGCGGTGATTGAATAGGAAACGTTGCAATCGAACAGACAAAGTATCCGGTAATTCATTTGATTTTCAATATGAAGTGCGAATCAATCTAGACTTTAAAGAAAGTTTTTGACCTGATTATTACTTGCAGTTACAAGCAATAAGTGTGATTGTGATTGGAATGATTTAAAACACCATAAAATATGCGATGACTTATATGCGTTTCCGATTCAAAATGGTTCAGTGCAAAAGCACCGAAGCACAATAATGCAAAAGGTTGAAAAGTATTTTCAAAACACTGTTGAACAAGGACAACAACACTAAAAAAAATCAATGGTGATCGCTTGACTGGCATTAAATTTTGAAAAAAAAAATGAAAATATATCAACTAAAAAAAATTGAATAGCTATATTTATTCAAAAAACAACTGTTATAATCCGTTCAAAGTTGAACTTGCAAATCAAAAAACATATGATTGAGCAATTAAAAAATTAAAACAGTCAACAAGCAACTGAAACTGTTTTTCTTACAAAAAATTTGATCACTTGCCCCCGATCTGTAATGATTTGAGCCGAACACAGATTGCAGCGCAAATTGAGAAAAAGTCGATAAAAAAAGGGTTTTGTTTCCGGTTGTGAAACGTTTTTACGCTACTTTTGAAATTTAACACTCTTGATTACTTCATATTCATATAAACCACAAAAACAAACAAACAAAACCATATTTATTTTGGCTGCCAGAAAAAAATGCGATCAATTTTCACACCTTATTGATTATCTGAACTCGAAAAATTAACCTCATTGGAGTCAGTGGTTTGGTTTCGACCAAGCTTTTTTTCAATGTATAGAACTATTTTTAGTCTGCAGATTTTTTCTATTTGGTAACTCCAACTAAAATGAGCAAAAAGATGAAAAAAAAACAAAGTGATTTAAACAAAAACAGAGTGAATTGTCAAATGAGCATTTTTGATTTGTTATAGTTGACTTGTTGATAGGTTTGTTAAAATTAGTTGAGACGAAACTTTTTTTTCCCGCAATTTGTATATTTTATATTTTTTATTTTAAATCAACACTTTCTAGCTTTACAAGTATATTATTTCAAAAAAATGGGGGTCGATAATCGAGTACCAAGTTTTCCTTTCGTTGGATTAAAAAATGGTTTCGGAGTAAAAAATTTTCGCACTTCATCTATTTTTTCTTTTTTGGAATCCTTATTTCTGCTTAGTTATGTAGATGAGGTGGAAAATTTTTATTTTATATCCCAGCACTTAAACAAATTGATAGATAAAATGACAACTAGCTACAAAGTTGATGAAATCTGGGATAAGATAGTCAATCTAAAAATCATCAAACACTTATATAGATTTCCATGTGTTTTCTTTTTAGCTTGAATTTAACAAAGTTTTTCTCAAATTCAGAGCGATCATCGAATATTTTGCAGTCTGGGACAAAAAAAAACAGAACTCAGTTCAACTTTAAGGCTAGACAGTACCTGCCTAATTTTTATCTAAAACTTGCCGTTTACATTTTCTATTCAGTTTTTAATGAATCACAAAAAAACAGCAACCTCCATGATTGGAAAAACTTTAATCTTTTGCGAACCGAATTGGTCTTTTAAGTATCTTAAAATATGTCGTTAATAGAATAGCTTTCATACAAATTTTTTAACTTTTCGCAAAATACTTAGGTCTGAGAAACAACTTGAAATATTTCAAAAGTCACAGCTTGAATAGCTTGCTGAGAAAAACTTAAACTGTTTCGGCATTTAAAGTTAAAATTTATAAAAACCGATTTAGAACATGGCTTAACTTGAAATTGTTTAAAGTTTCAGGCTTGAATAGCTTGATCAGAAGAGCAATTAATTTTTTGCAAGACGGGTATGATAGTACTTATTAAACATTTGCACCGTTCCTTCTACGAAGTTCAGTGGGCAAGTCTGGTTATAAAGCACGACAGCTTAAAACTTCATTAAAATTTTTATCAGAAGATGTTATTTTTTTGCACAAAATGCTATGGCGCACGTACACATTGGTGCTCCAAGTCAAGCTGTCCGAATACTTTTAACACATTTGCACCGTACGTCAGTGAGTGACCAATTGATTGTTTTTGTTCGCTTTGAACTATAGATACCAGAAGTCTGTTATGAAGCCTAATAGTTTGGAAGGTAGCCAAAACTACCAGATTACCAAACTCAGAGTCTGATTTTTTCCCAAATTTATTCAGGCTCTCGCAGTTTTAAAAATATGCAGGGTTAATTTTGCAAATTTTTCTGCTGCTGGTCTTTGCAAAATTAAACCATAAATAGGATTTCGAAAGGTGTTGCGTAAAAATTTTTGTATTTCTGAGCTTGTTCCTCTCTAAACTTCTTGTAGGAATTTTTGTTGATTAGGAAGCGCAAGAAATTTTTAGGAATATATTAGCGGTGGTCAGTGGCATGGATTAAATGATGGCATGGAATAGAGTTGAACTGATTTGCTTTAAATGCAGTTACAAAAATGCAGTTTTGGGCTTTTTTTTAAAATTGCTTAAGTCAAAATCTACAGTATCACCGATACTATACGGGCATTCATTTTCATCAAAAAGTTCCCGAAGGAACCGTTATGGACGTGGAAACCAGATAATTTAGAGAAAAATTTCCACAAGCAGTTATTGTCAGTATAGTACTAATGGGACGGTCCTTTGGGCGGTGAGGGTTTCAATTTCCCGAGTTCCTGGTGGGAAAGGGAGTGAAGTCACTGCGACAAATAATGCAAAATTCGAGAAAAAAAATATTTAAGTTTTGACTCGCTAACATTCGGCTACTTTTTCTACATTCGTATACATCATAAAAAGTTCTATTGTTTTTTGTGTGTGTTGCAGTGGCTATGATGACGGCCATGATTCTGTCTCAGAGGAACAACAGTAGAATAGCAATGGACTTCACAGAGTACCACATCACAGACAAGTGTCTCTGTCTCAATCGCACCAGACAAGTGTCTAGTGGCTATGTGAACTGCACTAACCTGCTCACTTTAAACCACAACAGCTCTGTAATTGGATCCAGTGAGTCACCAATCAGTGAAATAAATGGCTAAATTCATTTCAATTAAGTTGACTTCATCGATCTTTTCCTTTTCCCCACCTGCAAGTTCTTACAAGAAATTTTTTGTTCACGTTTTCCGATTGCTATGAAAGATGGCACATGGACTAATTAAGGCATAACAAACATATTTGATCTCCTTATGAAACCTTTAAGATCATTTATCCACGAGGGATAGGACCAACATACGAGCTGTACAGCTCATCACGGCGAACCGGTGTTGTGCCCCTGCTTAAGAACTACATGCAATTTTTTTTGGTTATTTTTCTGGGCTGGGTACTGTTGCCTCACCCTCAAGCAACTTGAAAAAGTCATCGTTACATCACCAAACTGATGCTAAAAAGAGATGGGGGAGGGGCAAGATCTTTTCCATTATGAAAAGTACCGACATACGAAGTACCGACATCAGGGACGAACCACTTTTTGCACCTCATTAAGACCTATGTGCAATTTTTTTAGGTTAATTTTCTTGACCGACAATCAAGGGTTGTAAATCATAGTGGACCTCGAGTTACCGTTATTTCTACTGATAGGTCGAAAACTTAGCACTTCACCCTAGTTGCGCGTTTGTTTCACGTGTGCTCCCTATCAAAGGTTAATTAAGTCAAAACATATGCAAAGTTATGATGAAAACTACGCGGTAAGTATTTCCAAAGAACTACCGATGAATTTTAGAGCGCTTTCTAAATGTTAGCTCCCAGCCAATGCATTAATCAAGTTGCATTCAAAAATTAACTATAACGGTTTTGTGAAAAAGTACGAAACTCGTAATTTCACGGCGCGTGGTCATAACTTGAAAGTGGTATATGTATCCGGTACCGAGCTCACTATCAAAAATCAGGCCTGATCAGGGTAAAATCTGAATTTTTCCATGCCTGCATCAGATCTGCAGCATGTCTAATTTAACCCTGTGCAGATCTGATGCAGATCTGACCAGCTCTGACAACTGAAATATATCAGACCTGATTCACCTCTGCAATATATCAGCAATGATCCAACTTGCTTTACAAACGCCTCGACTCGTCAAACTTCGATGCTCGAAAAACCTTTTAATGTTTTTTATTTTTGAACAACTGCATAATTTATTTCAAAAGAGCACTCAAATTGAAAAAAAAATATCAACACTTTCGCCTAATCGATGAAATTCGAGTGTTTTCCTCATCATTTCATGAAATTGGTTTGCAATGCCTCGTGGTATTTGTTCTGCTGTGCCTGAAACACATCAATGATTTAATTTTTGACAGCTTTCGAAATGAAAAAAAAATACTGCAAGGATAAGGGAAAACCCTGACTACTCAGACTGTTGGTCAATAATTTGTTTTGAAACAAAACGTTTCAAAATGTATTTTTTTGTCTCATTGGCCTTTTGCTTTAAAAGTTTTGCTGCGACCGTCATCATCTTTTTAAAAAAATTTTATCAAAATTTGGGAAATTTTTGATCCGAATGTTTTCGAAGAGAACGATGATGATGATTATTTGATGAGATCATGCTAATTGTCTAAGTTTTTTTTAGAATCAAGTTTTTATCATGAGTTCAATCAAGTAGAGGAAAAAGTAATAACCAAATCAAACAAGTAAACGCTAGTTGAAAACCAATTTGAACTACAGCACGCATATGTTTAGCACTTATTGTTCCGACTTTCGATACGAATGTAACGGAATATTTGTGCTCGGGGTGGGTTTTTTTTCTTCAGACAAATTTCGACTCTTTAACTAGCCATTTTTGACGGAATTTTTAAAAATCATTCAAAAGGTATTGTTGTCCTGAGCTTAAATTTGCGAAGATATTTCACCTATAAACGCGTAAGCGGAGATTTAATCCGTCTTATCAATCGTTCCAAATTGGTTGAACGAAGCTTATTTGCCATAACTGATTGGTTACGACTTTTTAAATAGCCATTTTTGACGGAATTTCTTTATATCATTCCAAAGGTATTGTTGTCCTGAACTCAAATTTGAAAAGATATTCCACCTGTGATCATTTTTTGTTAAGTTACGGGTGTTTAAAGATTGGCAATTTGGCCAATTTGGGACAATTAACGCGCGATATATTTCGTGCTATTAATGCATAAGCGGAGAGTTAATCCGTCTTAGAAAGCGTTCCAAATTGGTTAAAGAAGCTTATTTGACTTAATTGGTTTGTTACAAAGAGCAAAATCTATCCTTTTGTACTTTTTATGGCCCGATGGGGATGATTTTCATAAAAAATTTCAAATTTTAGAAAAAAAATTCATTTTTTTCATTTCATTTATTTTTTTAAATGTTATTAATGCTGCTCCATAAACCATAAAAGGCAGTCGGAACATTCAAGGCTTCGTCCTGATACGAGCAGTCTTGTATGTTTTTATGTTCAGCACGTATGTATTTATTAGCAGTATTTAAAGCTGTACATAAAACTGTACATTTTGCTGTTTTAAAGCTGTACAGTTCTGATTTTAATGTTTTTCTTATGTACGGGATGTGCAGAAGCGGATCTATGATTTTAAAAATTTTGTCGATTTTTTTAGGTCGATCATATTGAAAATTCCGAGTGCTAACAGAACACAAGCAGACCAGCAATTTGTTTAGACAAAACTCTTTGCGCTGCAGGCAAATTGTTGCGAAAAACAGGTCAAAATAGCCATTTTTGGGCACTTTAAGGAAAATGTTGACAAAGTTTTTTTTTGTCGAAAACTTCTCCTCATAATCACTTTATATTGGCGCCAACGGAGCCTTTAGAAAAATTTTAAAGACGGTCAGCCAAAACGGGAATTCTTAAATAGTACCAGAGGGGGGGCCCTTTCCCTTTTGTGTTGGCAGGGGATCGAGTCACTGATGGAGGGAGAGGGCGTCCATCCCGCTTCCTTCAAATCAGCCTTTTTTATATAGATATACGTTTGAAAGCAGTAGCGGATTTAGGGGGGCCGGGGGGGTTTGCACGCCGCCTTCTCAGGGGTTCGACCCCCAGCCGACCCAAAGGTCCTCCCTTTCTACTATTTTAAGATATCCATTTTTGGCTGACTGATTTTAATTTTTATCTAAAGGCGCCTTTGGCGCCAATCTATACTAATTTTGAGGGGGAGCGTGCGCCGAACAAAACGCAATTTTTTGGTCGATTTTTTTCCAAAAAGTGCCTAAAAACGCCTTTTTTGGCCTTTTTTCAAAAATTTGCCTCAGGCGCAGAAAATTTGGTCAAATTAGGGTCTTTATAGCGGTTTCGTAGAGCTCACAAAATCAATTTTGTCGACCTAAAAAAAGGTCGACAAAGTTTTCAATTTTTTTTTTGAAAGTCCGCCCCCCTCGAGAAATTCCTTGATCCGCGCCTGTTTGAAAATATACATCTTGTCTGCTGAATTTGTCAGCGTCAAATCAGTCATCTTTCCAAAATAAGTGAGAAGATCGGAAAGTTTTTGCTGAGATAAAGTCACACATTTTGATTTGAAACTTCAATCATTTTAAGATTTTCAACCATAAAGGATACATCTGGTGGCGAATTCGTTTCCAAAAATGACTAAAATTAGGATCCATAAATCAACCAAAAACATATAAAACCCTCCATTTCACCTTAATTATCATGTCGCTTGAAGTCACAAAAAAAATTGTGCTTAATTTATTACCTCCTTTGTTGGCTAACATGTTTACCTTATTCAAAGACAGGATATGATATTAACAACCGTCAGATTGCTCTAGATAGTCAGAGTTGGTTGATAAGTGAACTCATAAATTTGCACCTGCAGCCCAGTTTAGTATGGTTTACATTAAAGCGCAAGGATCAGCTGTCCTCTCGAAATAGGTCAGAAACAAAGTACCCAGAGAAAAATGAGAACGGACCAATGGTTTTCGACTTTTTGATAAGTCTTAGAAGCCTTTTAATCTAACTGTCTACCAGCCGGCAGAAAGTATACATGCGTGTTTGGCATGTCTGTAAAGTACCAGCGTTAACTTCTGAACAATACAAACGAGAATAGGCGGTTCTTTAGCAACTAACACCGAAAACTCGAATAACAGTCTTTGATGAAACATTTGGTTTTCTAAATGGTTACGACATTAACATGGTTACATGTGCGACTGGTTTTGAACAAAAGATAGACCTCCATTCCGAACTTATTCCCAAATTATATTCTGAATCTGAGGCTTGAAAAGATCCGGCAAGGTATCGGCTCCCTCGGCCTTCAAATGAAACTGTAGCTCAAAGGTTCAAAAATTCTAACGCCCTCGATGTACGCGCTCATGCGAAGTTTTGCCAGCTTGCCAGTCACAGTCTAAACGGCCGAGCAATCTTTTTCGCGATGAAGCATCTCATTTAAGATCAACAAAGAAGGAATTTAAATCGACCGGAAACCATTTCTGTCAGTGCGGGAAGGCTGTCCTTGATTCTCTTTATTAAATCTGTGAAACTGAATAATTGATTTGCATGACTCATCAAACGATTCTACTTTTCAATTTCTATAATCTTCATAAAATATTATTATAAAGTAGTTCAAAAATTGCTGATTTGTCACTTTATGTTATTTTTAATGTGTAATTTTTTTTTCACATTTTGTTTTTCTAAATTCCCCTGAAAGAATTCTACGCAAGCCGCTGAGTATGGTAGAATAGCATTATAAGGAGCTTCAACAATTACAATTTGCTTTTTATAATGAAAAACAAATAAAAAAAGCAAATGAATATTTTTCGTGTGTTTTTCTGTATTAAGATACTAAACAGTTTTCGCTTCTAAAGTTAATAATTTTTTTTGTCAAAAATTGATAACAGAATTTGAAAGAACTTTAAAACATTGATTTTTTTTATTTTTGTTTTTCATTTAATACCTTCTCACGATATGTAAAGTATAAACTGACATATTTTGAGCCTGTATCGCATTAGCCTGAGAAAATTGCTTGCTTTAATATTCAATTTGGAACAATTAATTTGCCGATTATGCATAAATAGCACGAAATATATTGCTTTTTAATTATCCTAAATTGGCCAAATTGATAGTTTT